CTGTCTGTGACCGAGCTAAAAGAATCAATTTTTAAATTGTACGTTATCGTATAGATCAGCAGCGTTTACCACCGTGTTCGAGAGAAAATTTGAGACACGAACGATGGGGCACGGGTCCTATAATACTGGCGCACCGACCGGGTGGGTTACAGCCTGGAAGTCGAGGGTGTCGGGAACGATCTTCATTTCTGACTGTTCGATTGTCAGTCAAGCAGATTTCGAGTCGGTTCGCTGGCGTATTCCTATATCTCATATGCATTGTGCTTTTGAATCATTACGTTCGGAACGGATTCTCCATGGCGATCATAGGTCTCTGGCTCTTTCCCTTAAATAATCTGTCGTGGACAAGGAGAAATCGTCTACAACTTTGACGGTTGATAGTGTCATCCGATCGGATTCCACCTAGGGCGATCCCACGCTTATCCGGTTATGTATCACCTATGTGCCTGAGGAGAAGAGCGACACATCCCTGAGTGAGTGCTCGAAAACAAACACAAAGAACGGAGCGCGCCGAGGGTGTGCAATAGGTAAAGGACGGATATAGGAGATGCAGTCAATCCCAGAATCAGTGTAAGAGTGCATCAATATCACAGAAAGATAGAGCGTTATTTTTAGTGCTATATAGAAAGAAAATTCCTTTCAGCTTACTACATGCTAATAAAGTGTCAGTGTCACTACTTTTGGAATGACCTAAGAAGTATCATTACTTCTGCTATGCTCTGTGTGTCGTAATGCTAGAAGAAGCATGTCTATATGTTTTCTTCAGTTATCTCATAAGCTTTCATTTCTTATCTGAAGAATAAAAACATTAGAAGCAAATAAGAAGAATAACCTCGCAAACATTTTATTAGTATGAGAGATACTCAAGCATGAAGATATGCATATTCTTGACTTTTCTATTACAAATTTTCGTTGTACAAGTACAAACCGAGGAGTGTGAATTAACATCAAATGATCACATCCAATTAACAGCAAATGAATTTATTCAATCACGACAACTATGCAACACATCGAGTTTTTCAACGACAGATATACGTCGAATATCTATTAATGGTCATTTAGTAGATTATACGACACGCTGTCAGAAGAGCATAAGTAACGCAAATGTTGAAATTATTCGCATACATTCAAACAGTCGATCGATGTGTTCTGATCTTCATCATTCAAATTCTCATGGTTATTTTCACCTAACCAATGTAATAATACACTCCAATGAAGAGATTTTCTTACGAGTCACAGCACTCGGTTATCGAACCATTTACAAAAGAATTCGTTTACCATTATCATATGAACGATCACAAGGGACGATATTGGATTGGCAAATTGTTCTAACAATAGATATAAAACAGAGACAGTCACAACATGATGAACGTATGAAGTCTATTGTTGATGCACTTCTATCTGAAATGACATTAGATGAAAAAATTGGTCAATTAAATCTTGAGGGTGTTGGTTTTAATGCCGATGGCCCAATTATCAGTGACGAGCTAAGAGAGAGAATTCATCGTGGTGAAGTTGGTGCTGTACTGAATATTTATACTCCAAAGGCTGTTCGTCAACTACAAGAACTTGCAATAAATAGTACACGTCTAAAAATACCTTTCATCTTTGGTTTTGATGTCATTCATGGGCATAAAACAATTTTTCCAATTCCCCTAGCTTTAAGTGCAACGTGGAATATGACATTAATCGAACAAAGTGCGCGTATTGCAGCTACAGAAGCAACCGCCGATGCTCTGAATTGGGTGTTTTCACCTATGGTAGACATAGCACATGATCCACGTTGGGGTAGAATTCTGGAAGGTGCGGGTGAAGATCCGTGGTTAGGTAGTCAAGTAGCTACTGCCATGGTGCGTGGTTATCAAGGAAGTAATTTAAGTTGTGTAGATACAGTTATGGCATGTTTTAAACATTTTGGTTTATATGGGGCAGCAGAAGCTGGTCGGGATTATAATACTGTTGATATGAGTCCTTTGAGAATGTATGAATTATATTTTCCTCCTTATCGTGCTGCAGTGGAAGCTGGTGCTGGTAGTGTTATGACATCATTTAATGAAATTAATGGGGTCCCATCAACAGCTAATCAATGGTTACTAAATGATTTACTTCATGATCAATGGAACTTTACTGGATTTATTGTCACAGATGCTACAGCAATTAGTGAACTGATTGCTCATGGTTTAGGAAATTTACAAGAAGTAAGTGCTCGATCCATTAATGCTGGTGTTGATATGGATATGGGTAGTCAAGGATTTTTAACAACATTGAATCAATCTTTACACGAAGGAAAAGTAACTGAGCAAACAATCGATCAAGCATGTCGTCGTGTTCTAGAAGCTAAATATAAATTAGGTTTACTTGATGATCCATTTCATTATGTTAATGAATCACGTGCACAAACAGATATATTTACGAAGCAAAATCGTTTAGCAGCAAGAGATTTTGCTCGTCATTCTTTTGTTCTACTGAAAAATGACAAACAAACATTACCATTAGCAAGATCAAATTTAACTATTACTCTGGTTGGCCCATTGGCTGATGATCATAGAAATTTACTTGGTGCATGGAGTGGAGCTGGTGACTGGAATCAGGCAGTAAGTGTTGTTGAAGGTATTAATCAACTTCTTGGAAACAATATTCAAGTTTTACATGTCAAAGGAGCAAATCTTTTGGAAGATCCGAATACGCTTAAATTATTGAATGCATATGGTGGTGATATTATTTTAGATAATCGAACAGCTACAGAAATGATTGATGAAGCTCTTCAAGCGGCACAGAAATCTGATGTTATTGTTGCTGTTGTCGGTGAAACTCAAGGGATGACAGGTGAAGCATCAAGTAGAGCTGATATTGGATTGCCAGCTTGTCAACAACTTTTACTTCAAGCATTATTTAATACAGGGAAACCTGTTGTTATTGTACTAATGAACGGACGACCATTGACATTAACATGGGAAGATCAACAGGCAACAGCTATTTTGGAAACATGGTTTGCTGGTACAGAAACAGGAAATGCTATAGCCGAAGTACTTTTTGGTTATTATAATCCAGCTGGTAAATTAACAGCAACATTTCCACGGTCCGTTGGGCAGATTCCACTTTATTATAATCATAAAAATACTGGACGACCATATAATTCCAGTAATTTTCTCGATCGATTTAAAGTAAAAACATAAGAGATTCTTCTTTTTTTGTTAAACGAAATCTCTCGTGTTTTTTAGAGTCGTTATATAGATATACCAAATGACCCTTTATATCCATTCGGTTATGGTCTTAGTTATACCATATTTACCTTTGGTCAATTGAATGCCGACAAAACTGAACTTCACGGTGACTCTGATGTTTTAACGATCCGTTTTGTTTTAAGTAATACTGGTGCAT